TTTATTTATTTATTTTAGCCGCACCATTACCAATGGTCTCTGTGCAGCATACAACAATAGTAAAATTTTAAAAACATTAACCCGTTAAAAATAAGCAATATTATAATAAATACCCTATATTAAAATAGTCATTAAAACATTAATATTAATAGTCCTGCTGATCATATGGCCAGCTGAAGAATTAGTTATAACATGGTAGTATTACTGTGGTTTGTCAGTCTTGAGTGGAGACCATAGTTTTCAGAAATCAAGGATAGACTTTATGTTCATACTGCCATCTTTTTGAAGACCGTGGTCTCTGCTGAAGACTCTGACAAAATGGATCCCTAGTAATCTGTATCAGATAAAACAGAATAAGGTTCAGTGTATGTGTGTGCTCATGTTACAAGAACCACATGGGTGAGGTCACATGTAAGCTTTCCTTGTTTGATTGTTAGCTTTTTTCCAAGCCAAGCAAAACTGGGACAGAATGTCCCATGATATCAACCTTATAGTACTGGTATTTACCTGCGTGCCACAGCAGTGAGATGTTTTACCATTTGAAAGTAACTGTCATGTCTTTATTGAGGTGTTTCAAAATAGGAAACATAAAATAAGATAAAAATAAAACCAAAGAGGATTTCTGGATTCATCAATATTGAGCTAAAGTGATAAATAAACCAGGCAGATTCTAATTACTTTCTTCTGGTGTTGCTGGAGGGAAAAGTAACTTTGATGCTGTAATTCACATTCATGTGAGAAAGATGTACATCTTTTCTTGTGATTGCAGGCAACTAGCTAAGCATGGGCAGCCAACTGAATTTCCACATCGTGGACCCTTGTCGCAGATTGTTACGTGCATTGAACCTCAAAATGCGTTCAATAAGAAGGAGAAAGAGAGAGTTGCTGTTTGAAATAATGTTTGTCTCCGATGGAACAATTTTAAACTTTAAAGGATAATGAGAAACAAGATAAATTGTGAAATTGATCCTATTTTAAAATGGACAAGAATCAAAACTTGCTTTCATGACATAGGAAAATTTATACCTCATATGATGACCTATTTGACACCAATTTATATTGTTTAATACAAATATACTACATAAGAAGAGCCCTGCTGCGTCAGGGCAAGAGCCCATCTAGTCCAGCTTCCTGTATCTCACAGTGGCCCCATCAGATGCCTCTGGAAGCACACGAGACAACTAGAGACCTGTCTCCTGATACCCCTCCCCTACATCTGGCATTTTGTAGTCCCTTCCTTTTAGGCTTGGAGATTATACTTCCCCATCATGGCTTATAATCTGCGATGGACTTTTCTTTCATACATCTGTCCAATCCCCTTTTAAAAACATATAGGCCAGATGCCATCACCACATCTTTTAGATTTCCTGAGACTCTCTAAATGTCTGTAGCAAAGTCTTCTGTCATCCCACAAAAGTCCCAGAACTATTCTTGATTATTTGTTCACTTCCACCAGTTTATGATTACTTCTCCATTCCCAGTCACAGAGATGAACACATGATATTTAGCCCACATGTACTGTATGTAGCTGTCCCGGTATATTTGCCACTTTGGCTTATAGGTTCTGAAGCAGCTTTGTGAGGCCAAAGTCCTCACATGCCACCCAAATGTTGTAGGTTTCCACAGCTAGAAAATGATTCATCATAAAGTAACACAGCTCTTATAATTGGCTTCCTTGACCTCCAGCGCACATAGGACATCACTATTTGTAGGACGAATAGCAAACAATCAGTCTTTATTGTATAGTCACAGACCTGATAAAAGATGGATAGCAATGGCTCCTACTTCATTCATTACTTTTCCCTGTGATAGGAATAGGCAAACTGTAGTCCACATGCCATATGCTCCTCTTGAGGGACATTTTTTGCAGTCCGCAATGGAAAAATTTGTTTGTTTATTTATTTATTTATTTATTTGGCTTTTATACCATCCATCTAGATGAATCTACTCTGGGCAGGTTACAGTCCAAAAAAGCAATAAAATTAAACATCAATAAAAAGACAAAAGACAATTAAAAACAAGCAAACATAATTCAAGATGGCAAAACTAGGGGAAGAAATTAAATAATGTCAGGAGGGAAGGCCTGCATGAAGAGTCAGGTCCTCAGTTTATTCTTAAAAACTCCCAGCGAGGGAGCCAGATGGATCTCGGGTGAGGGTGTTCCAAAGGCAAGGGGCCAGTGCTGAGAAGGCCCAGTTTCTAGTTTTTTCCTTCTGGACCTCTCTTGGAGTTAAACCCCTCAGCCGCCCTGCCTGGATAGAATGAGCGATATGGATAGAACTAGGTGGAAGAAGGCACTCTGACAGATATTGAGGTCCTAAACCATTTAGGGCTTTATATGTAGTTATTAGAACCTTGAATTTGATGGGTAACCAGTGTAAGGCAGACAGAGTGGGGAAAATATGATATTTTTCACCCCAGTTAGTAATCTGACCACCGTGTTCTGGACCATTTGAAGTTTCTACATCTATCTCAAGGGAAGCCTCGTGTAGAGTGCGTTACAGTAGACTAATCTCAAAACTACAAGCACATGGACAAGTGTGGTGAGCGCCCCAACATCAAGATAGGATCGCAGCTGGGCAATCCACCAATGATGTAAATAGGCGGTGCAGACCACAGACGTTACCTGGGATTCTGTGCCAAGTGCCAGGTAAAGATGGACCCCCGAAGCTGTGGACCACACTCTATGTGATGAGAGTCACTCCCCAAAAAGAAAGGGAGCGTCCCAACCCACTGGTGACAGGGGCATCCACCCTCAGGAGCTCCATCTTCTCCAGATTCAGCCTCAGTCCCTTCTCCTGCATCCATTGCAGAATAGGCCGCAGGCAGAGCTCAAGGGACATAACGGCATCCACTACTGATGGAAAAAAAAAGATGTAGAACTGAGTGTTATCAGCATACTGATGGCATGAGGTACCATACCCCAGATAACACCCCCAGTGGCCTCATATAGATATTTAACAGCACTGGAGAGATTATCAAACCCTGCGGGACCCCACAATTGAGGAGCCACAGGGCCGATACATTCTCCCCAAGTTGGACTCTCTGAAAAAGAAGGACCGGAGCCAGGCAAGAGCCAGACCACTGATCCAGAACTCGGAGAGCCTCCCCAGGAGGATACTGTGGTCAACAGAATCAAAGGCGGCTGAGATGTCGAGGAGAACCAACAAAGATATTTTGCCCCTGTCCGCCTCCCTCAATAGGTCATCAAGCAGGGTGACCAGTGCAGTTTCTATACCACAGTGCAGCCTGAAGCCCAACTGGAATGGATCCAGGGCATCGGTTTCATCCAAACGGGCCTGAAATTGACTGGCCATCACCCTCTCTACTACCTTGCTAAGGAAAGAAACTGACGATGGGCCTATAATTGCCAATGTTGTCCACCACCAAGCTCGGTTTCTTCCTAATGGAACAAAACATTGCTTTTCTGCCCCTAGAGGCCTCTAGGACCAGTGGGGTTTGCTTTGCGGGCTGGAGGGAATATCTTCCAAACCCCAAACTCTTCTTCTTCTTCTTCTTCTTCTTCTTCTTCTTCTTCTTCTTCTTCTTCTTCTTCTTCTTCTTCTTCTTCTTCTTCTTCTTCTTCTTCTTCTTCAGAAACACCAGGCACAGTCAACATTAAAGCATCTGTTAAATAACAGCCCAGTATGAATGCTGTTCCTAATATTGTCATTTTTTTGTAGCTTTGATGATGTGATTTCTGATATCTGCAACTGCTTATAGTACTGTGTGAAATTTCTTGATATTGTTCCCAGAGCCCCAATGACTACGAGGACCACTGAAGTGCGTTTCTTCCAGAGGCGAGATGTTTCGATTGCCAGGTCTCTGTACTTTGTTAGTTTTTCTAGTTCTTTATTTTCAACTTTGGCATCTTCTGGTATTGCAATGTCAATGATCTGGACATTTCTTTGTTCTATTACTACTATGTCTGGTGTGTTATGTTCATGGTGTCTATCACTTTGTATCTGGAAATCCCACAAGATCTTGACTTCCTCATTTCTTACACCTCCTCTACCTGATGTTCCCACAGGTTTTTGGAGGCTGACAAACCAGCCCCGGACAATGCCTGGCCTCCTTGGTGGGGCTGTCCTGGGGTGCAGATGGGTGGGCCGGAGGGTCTTTCTCCGGCGAATGAGGGCTCGGAGGTAGGCAGCCGCCCGGGGCGGGAATGGGCGCGACATCCACCCGCTGCTCGCCCGCCAGCCTG